GGGGGCTGCCCCCTTGGCGCGGGCAGGGGGAGCCTTGCTCAGGTTGCCTGACCCGTGGCCTCTCTCTCAGCCAGCACCATTGCTCTCTTCCTGAACTTCTTGTCCTCGCTGGCCTGGTTCTGCGTGGAGCCCTCGTCTGGTTCTGGGTTTGGCCTCTCCATTCTCTGGGCTCTGCTCTACACGCCCTGCTCCTTTGTCTGCTGGTACAGGCCCATGTACAAAGCCTTCAGGTGTGTACGTGCCTGAGCTCCAGGCCAGCAAAGCAGCGGGGTCTGGGGGGGCTGCATGGTGGTGCTGGGAGCTGAGGAGACTGGGCTGCTCGGCTGAACCAGCACCTTGCCCTGAGCGCGGCACCGAGGGCGTCCCAGCTCCTTGTGGCCTTTAGGTCTGGGGGACACGGTGATTCCGCACGCAGCTTCATGTTCTCCTTGTGTCTCCCGCGTTAAGGAAGGTTTGAGAGTTTTATTCTGTGGCCTAACCTCGCCGGTCTCTTTTCTCCCAGGAGCGACAGCTCGTTCAACTTCTTTGTCTTCTTCTTCGTCTTCTTTGCCCAGAACGTGATGTACGTGCTGCAGGCGATTGGCATACCAAACTGGGGATTCAGGTGCGTGTCGTGCTGACCCCAGGGAGCCCTGGTCAGCCCCATGCTGCGGAAAGTGGGGAGAAGGGAACCTGTGGGACACTGCCTCTCATTTTGTAGTGGCTGGATATTGAGCCTGATCGCGCTGCGGAAGAACACGGCCGTGGCTGTGATGATGATGCTGGTGTCCTTGTTTTTCACAGCAGTGGCTGTGTTGGGCATCATTATGCTGAAAAAGGTGAGTTTGGCTTGAGTCTTGGGGTCAGAGTGCCCCTTCAGGAGGACGGAAGTGGGTTTTAGCAGGTGTGGGGGCACAGCTCTCTGCATTTGGGGCCCGGAACCCTGAGCATGCCGTTCCGTTCCAGATCCATTCTCTGTACCGCCGGACGGGCGCCAGCTTCCAGAAGGCACAGGAGGAGTTTGCTGCAGGGGTCTTCTCCAACCAGGCGGTGCGCACTGCGGCTCGCCGCTGCGGGTGCTGCCACCAATGCCTTCCGGGCACCCTAGCTGGGCAGGGGCCCCGGCTTCTCATCGCACGTGGGCTCTTTCGGAGGAAGAGGAAATCCAAGTTGCACTTTCATTGGATCCCCGTGTGTCTGCATCAGCTGTCAGAGGCTGCCTCATCCCAGCTTGGAAGTGCTGGTGCCCGAATCGTCTGCTGCTCTAACCCCTTTCCTCACGGATGGAGGCTGTTCTGGTTTGTGCTGGTCCCCTTCCCTTAACGGACTGGGGAGGGAGCGGGATGGGAGGTGCTG